GCATCTTGGAACCTCTAGAAAATACAAAAACAAAATTCTAAGAGATCTAATTGGGATGTGCCATAAGATCGCTGAGGTACCAGGGTCCCTTCAATTCTGATGGCAACTAGGAACCAGTGAAAGGAAGCCAGTACAGGTGAGATATGCTCACATTTACATGAATTTATCAAGAAACAAGCAGCGGCATTTTAAACTAAATGGATACATGAAAGAAGTGATTTACTGACTTGAGAATAGAGTGAATTACAGTAGTCAAGCCTAGAACTAATAAAAGCACAAACTGCAATTTCAAAATCATTAAATGTGAGAGAAAAGTCCTCACTTTACAGCATCAATCTGCTTATCAAACCTTAAATCACTGTCAAACAACACCCCAAGATTTCTCACCACGATACAGGTCCAAGGTCAATGACCGAAGCAGCCACTGAAAAGGGGCGTCCCAGCACTACACATTCTGTTGTGTCCTCACTGAGGTGTAGAAAGTTTAGTGCCAGCCAAGCTCTAATGTAATCAAGACAGTCAAACAACGGCTGGAGGGAAAACCCTTTCTTAGGCTTTAAAGAACATCAATCTCACTGGCATAACAGTGGGGAAAAAAACAACATATTTCTCTAGAATCCACCCCAGCAGAAGCATACAGTATATAATAAAAACAGAAGTGGAACAAGAACTCGGGGGGCACCACAAGCCAGTGGAGCTGAATAAGAAGAACAGGCACCAATACTGACTGTAAAAGTTCTATAAGATAAATATGATTAAAACCAGTTGAGGACAGTATGTCATTGAGGAAGACGAGATACAGTAAGAGGATTTGATGGTCCACTGTATCAAAAGCAGCTGATAGGTCAAGGAGTACTATTAACACAGTGCCCAGCATCCCTAGCCACCAGATTGGCAGATTTTTATGCTGTGCTTTGGTTTAAACAAGATAAAAATTTTTCATTAATTCCATTATCATTAAGATACAACTGGAGTTGACTAAGAACAATCTTTTCTAAAACTTTTGACACAATTTAGACACTGGCCTAAAAAAAATGAGGGGTCAATATTAGGTTTACCTGCTTAAACATTTCAGGAACAATCCCATTTTCAAGGCTTTGGTTAGTGGGAGCTTGTCCCAACAACCCCAGAGGTATCCTTAAATAATTTAGCTGGCAATGATACAGGCTCAAACTGGTCAAAGATGGCAGGACACATACTGTATGAACAATAGATGGATCGGAAGCAACATCACTAGTACACTGCCTAATATGAACAATCTTATAGGTGAAAAATTGGAGGAAGGCTTTATAAATTCCTACTGAGACTTCACAGAGTTGGCCGTGCTAAATAGCACCTGAGGTTTATGTTATTAGCAGTAACACTAGTGAGATAATTAGATGTAGCACTTTTAACAACATTCTGATAATTTGAAAGCTAGTCCCTGAAGTAACCAAAAGAAACACAAAGATGATCTTTTTTCCATTTCCTCTTGATGACATCGATGCCTGAAGGCACAAGTCAAGTCATTCAGCCAAGGCTCAGTTTTAACTTCACAAGATTTCTGTTTAAGAGGAGCAAGAGTCCAAAACGTCCGTGGAAGTTGACTCAAACAGCGAAACATATGTCAGCACTGAGTCACCCAACAAATACAACCCCATCTTTCTGAATAATTCAGAGAACATTCCTGTTGTCGATTGAGTGATTGCACATCTAAAAGCAGCAGCTGATTTGGTTTAAAGATATTTGCAGAACTTATTTTAAAATGCCAGCTGCCAGGGTCTGCTCTATTTTCCCCCTACATTGTATTCATACTTGGGCCTTTCCCATATTAAATTACACACACTTGCATGAAAAATGTAGACAGAGCTAGTGACTCAGGGTGGAACCCTAGAAAACACAGTGGGATATCAACAATCATTTATTTAACAGCCCCCCAGCCTCCAAATATCCTTTTACTGTAACAGGAAGATCCATTCTTCTGCTCAAAGAGAAACAACTGAGCTCATCAAACAGCATTAAATTGTTTTATTTTCCACCCACGACCAGGCCAAATCCTTTGACATATTTATCTCAGTAAGTGTAGTTTTGTGCAGCCTGACACTGTTGTTACCTTTTAAAGACATATGATACAATTGGGAGGCCACCCACATGGAGTGCACTCAGGAGATGAATACAGAGTACATAGCATTCATAGTGGAGGTGAACTGAGTGTCCTAAACCAACTTAATATATAATTCTGTATCAGTTTATTCCTTTAAGACAACATTGACACTTTAACTTGGATATCAGATTGCAGTATTTATATAAAGGTCCTGACTATAGTCATTGAAGTATTCTTTATGTCATGTAATATTTAGAGGACCTTCCAAGCAGTACATATCGAAGATAACAAGCATGAACATTCTTTGATTATAAATATATTATGCTGATCAGGCTTCAAAAATAATGAGAAAGACTATAAACAATGGTTATATTTCTATCAGAGTTAGGTCAATACAGTTGAAGAAAAATAATGCCAATTCCCTTGATAAGGTGGACTGACCAGTGAGGCAGCTAAATATATGGTGTCTCATTTATTAGGCAAGACAGTCCTTTCAACTCATTACTATTATAAAATGTGTGATTCAGCGAGGCAGATGTATGAAATGACCTGAGTGGAAACAACTGTGTGATCATGAAGGAAAATAGTCATTTGTGCAGTTACTGTATATTGAAGCTGACTTGTTTCCTGTTTACTGACAGGGATAGAGAAACATCAAAAAGCCTGAAGGTTTAAATACCCCCTTAAGGTAAGATGTATAGCACATATAAAACATAATCCACTCGAATGTATGCCAATAATTTTTACTTTCAACCCACCAGCTAATAAACTCATAAGTAAGTCAAACCACTTTCATAATCAAGGCCAAACAGAAAAGAGCCTATCAGGTTGAAGGACAATCTGACACTTTAGTAACTTTCAAACCAAGTGTACCTTTTTGTACCCACCAGACCATGAGCTGCATTATGCAGTAAATTCAGTCTGTGCCCAGAAATACTGATAAACAATTCCTGATAATGTCTTTTTGAGTTCAAACCATGTAAACCTCCGTAAGTCCTGTTTTGCCCTGTAGCAACTAAAAACAACCAACTTTAAATGCTTCCAAACATGTTTTAGCAGTAATAAGTGAGAAGAACATACAAAATAGTGCTATCATTAAGAAGGTAGTGTGAAGAGAAATGAAGGAGGAAAAACAAACCAAACTCAGTTCAGTAGTAGCACATTAACAATTTATTGTTTGCCCACATTATGACAAGTGTATATCTGCAATACCTGCACTGGATTATACTGTATAGTACAAGATGTTTAAGGCAATCTAGAGTACATCTTGGCAATCTTATTTTAATGTTTGTATGCAACCCTGTGCCCTAGAAATCAGACTACTACTTCATTTGACCAAACCTGTTTTGAGGCAAATGTAGCTGCTGCCTTTATCATGTTCAATGGTAACATTTTTCTAGTGTAGTAAGACAAGTAACTTGTTGGGAGGTGATCTGGATGGACAAGGGGTTGGTGTTTGATCCCAAAGAGCTGCCTGCGAGTAGAATCTTGGGGGAAGCAAAGTCTGATTCCTTGTAGATGTACATGTCCCCTAATCTGACCACAAGCAGATATCTCCGCCTATACCCGAGCCTAGAGAGCTAATATTTACCATGTACAAAGTGCAGAACTTGAGTAAATACTGAGTTCTCTGAGTGATCAGGTGTAGGCCACAAAAACACTTTGGTTACAGTTGGGAGAAAATCAGAGGTTTCAGTTAAATGTTACTAAAGTAAACATAATAGGTTTTGTAACTTGAATTATGTTCTGGAGGGGAATTTTGTGACTTAACAGATTTGTTCCTTAAAAACATTTCTTCATGTTAGTAAAAATCTACTTCAGGTGGAACTGCATGTTTCACAAAATTACAAGATCTGCAGTTGCAAATTAGTAGTAAAATAATTCCTAGGAGACAGGGCTGCTGTACTTAAAAACCCTGAGATATCATCATGCTACAGTTACATCAGTGCATTAGCTTTCTTTTCTTTTTTTTTTTTTTTTTTTTAATCAACTCACAACAAATAATGTGTTGTAATTTCCTGTTAGACCAGCAAGTTAACTTGAGATGAGCAGAAAATGTATTTGGAGTAAAAAAAAAAAAAAAAAGGTAAACCTAAATTGTGGTGCGTTCAGGTGCCAGAAACAATAACTACAGTATCTTGCACTGCAGTTTGGCAACAATAGTAGCTGTAAGACAGGAGCTTCATCCCTGGTTTATAGAGGAAATGGGTAATAGATTATTTGGTAACAGAAAACGGTGAACACAGGTATGAAAGTAATTTAGTGCTGTAGACTGTGTGTGGGATACAACTGAGACTAAACTTATGTTATAATGCCACAAGTATGAGTGGTTTGATTGGGTTCTGTGTTTATCCCTGAGACTTTGAGGCACAACGCAGCTAAAAGCAAATCCCTAATGAGCTCTTATTTAACATGCACGCATCAGTAAGTTGTATGTGAATGCTGTAATCAATAATTAATAATACAGAACGGCCTGAAAAATGTTCTTGGATATATACAGTAAAGTAAAACTGAAAAAGAACAATTTAATATCAGTCTTAAAATCGGTTTACTCAACAATTCCTCAACCCCTTAAAAATAAACAAACAAAAAAAAAACATTAAGATCTTATTTTTCTCCACACTGGAGTAAAGTAGTGAACCTGCAGTCCTGTAGACCCCCACAGCAGGGGCTGCATCGACTGGGGTGATTTAACAAGCTGAGAGTGTTGGCTGGAGGTCATTTGCTGCTTTCTGTCTCCATCAGTCGATCTCTGGCATACACTTAAACCACTTGGTCACGCGGCCATGCCCCTTGAGTTCCCTTTCCTCTGCTTCTGAGTCCAGGAGCCCGTCCATGTAGTTACCATACTCACTGATGGCATCTTCAACACGAGTGATATACAGCCAGCTGATTAGCACGCCAAAGAACTAGAGAGACAGAGAGAGAAGCTAAGTGTAGGAAGGAAGGCAAGGGAGGCTATCATGGGTGCTTCTCATTTGCCTTGAATGTTTCCCTCACTTGTGTCTTAGTCATGAAGGATGTGAGGAAGATATGAAATGAAAGACGACTCACGGAGACATCATTTTAGAGAAATGAAACGTCCTTTCCTCTGAACCGTGATCTGAATCGACAGCAATTTCTGACGACAATGGTACAGCTGAATGAACTGTCACTCTGCAGGTGCTGAAGGGTGCACAGTTATTACTGCCAGCACGGCAGCAGGACAGAAGTTAACGCGAAAATACCTCTGCATATCGTTGCTTCCTGAAGCACCCCTACATTTATTAAAAACATGTATTTTGTACTGATATTGAGGAAAGAGCCAAACCACAGTCTGTACTGCTCAGGCACATTAAGTCAACAACATTTCATTATTTATTAATTATTTGCAATTGCATTTTTTGCTGCTTTGTTTGTAAACTGATCAAGTTATGAGATGGAAGTCTCAGAATTTGTTGAAATAATATAGTAACATGTTATAGGGAAGGTGGAAATTGTGTAAACATGTTAAGATCTATCTGACACGGGGTTTGTCAACCTCATCAAAACAGTTTTTTTAAATGGTGTTTATGCTAAAAGATGAGACAACTCTTTGATGATACAGGTAAAAATGACTGACAATGAAAAGAAAAATCCTTCTGGTGAAAAATGAAATTTGTTGGTCTGGTAAGCGACTCTGGCAAAGGATGGTCGAGTGAATCCACTCCTCAGAACAGAAATAGGGGAATTGAGAAGTCCTTCAAGATGACAGACCAGGTCAATTTTTTAGGTCAGCTGTGCTGTGAAGCAATAAGCAAAGTGTCATGAAAAGGGCAAATGAGAAGCTTCCCATCTTCATGCCTGGATGACTAGCTGAAGCCCAGCACCATCTGCATTCAATCATTCACAACTGCCAGTGTATGTCTCTGTGTGTGAGACTGGATTTCAATGTATCCTGAATTGAAATGACATGCAAGAAGGCAAAAATGATAAAGCAATGAAAAATAGCCCGTGTCCGTCATGCCTACATCCTCCAATGACTCTGGTTAGAAAAATGGATATAAAGGGAAAATGACACATATGTAAATACATAATGTGAGAAAATGTGGGTTTACAGGTGTCACAGTATCGTTTGTTTGTTTTTTCAAAGTCTGACAATTTCAGAAATCTTTTGGCTAAAATGTTCATTTTAAACTCGGCCTGTTCAGCCTAAACACACATCAAATGTAAATGACATGGAGCAGCATGCAGTACATTTGTTAAAACTGCACTGCTTATTTTGTCAGTGCTGATGGCGTTGTCACATGTGCCTGAAGTGAAGCAATTTGCATTTTTTCCCACTTAGTCATCTGAAGTTGCTTGAATTAGACAGGCTGTTGAATATGGATAATTTTTTAAAATATGCTTCCGTTACTCACACATGTGGAAACTCAAGTTGCACCTGTTAAAGCCCTGCCATCTGTGAGAGCTTGGGCAAACACTGTAACAAGTACAAAAGTTTTTCTATGAAAGTCACAGGCACAAACAAAACACCTCTATTCTTTGAATATCACAGAAAGTCCATATAGGTTTATACAAGTTAAATCTACAGAACACACTGTGCACGAATATATTTGTTGGACAAGTAGACTTATAGTTGACTGAGTTGTGGGGACATAAATCCACTTACACAATCACACTGTGGGGTGTATACAAGCCCCCACTATGTAAATCAGATTTAAAACTTTGTTTTAAGATTAGGGCAAGGATTAGTCTTAAAGGAGTAAATAATAATAGTAATAATCAGATCTTCTTACTTGACAGTGCAAACATCGAAATGTGCCTTCTGTCCATGTCTAAGTGAAAACTAAATATGGCACAAAAAATTTATTTTTATCATCACCTATCCATAAGAATGGAAGAATATTTAGCTAAAACCTGAAGCACTTAAGTCCACACACCATGGACAGTAAAAGTAAAATTAACTTCGTTTTCAGTCTCACCAAATCACTGAACAGTCTTTCCTCTTGCCCATTTCTGCAGCTAATGGGAGTCGTCTTTGACTTTTCATTTAGTTCTACTCCACATACAGTACAGACCTACACTGTTGTAGTTTTCCATCGGACAGTACGTTTGTGTTTTAGGCTTGATCTAAACACCAACCGGCCACAATCCTTACACATAACCCACTAAACGCACTAAATATCATGAATATTACCCTGCCTTAAATAACATAAGTTTGTGTTTAGTTGTGCATGTACCTGAGGCAGTAGGATCCCTAGCAGCAGTCCAGCCATAATCCTGTAGTTGTCCATCAGCCAGATGAAGAAAGCATCAGTGCAGCCTCTGATATAGATGGTATCGAGCAAGCTCAAACGCTGTGTGACCCACAAACAAAAACAATATCTGAGAACACAACAATCGATCACTTTACTTGAGCAGTGAGGTATCAAACACCAGCAGCACCTCAGACATGAAAAGCGATGTATCAAGATGTCTGCTTAAGTTTTTACCTACATTCCCAAATTGTATACAGTTCCATATATAAAGTCTAACTACAGAAAATAACATATTTTAAAATGTTTATTTCATGTTCACTTGACAAAATAATTGAAAATGATAACATCGGCCTGATCTTCATTCAGTGATCACACTGCAAGGGCGACTTTGCTCAGCTGTCAGAGAAACACCACACTACAAATACACTACACTAATACCCGTCTGATTTTTATGCTCTGGTTTTATGCTATAGAGGTCTTACCTCTTTATCCAGCACCTGGTACCCACACATAGTGTTGGCCACCTCTTTAGGCTGGAGGGGAGAGAAGCAGAGAGACCGAAATAAAGTTAACAGTTAGAAATAAAAAGTAATTTGGAGATGGACATAAGTCAGTGAACAGCTTCCAGTATCATGAGGAGTCATCAACACACAGAGGAAAGCCAGCTTTCAATCAAGATTTATCTCCAAAGGTGGAAAATGTACAAGAACCAACGCTAAATACAGAACTGTAAGAAGTTTCTTTACCTCTTCATGAATTACTGTGTTTGCGACAGACTTTGAGTTTGTGATTGAGCTTATTCAAATAAGCCAAGATAAGCTGCCAATCTCCTGTGGCCGTATGGCACAGGTAGAAGAGGAGGGGAGGAGTGAAGTCTTTATAGAAGCTGTTATTTTTCAGACATTTAATGCATTACTATGTGATGGTATAATTAGTAGCACTACTCCATATTTACCCTAGGTAACTGGCTGCATGTTTCATTCATGTTATTGACTCTGCTCTATTTACTTCATTGGGAAACAGGTGGGAACACTTGCCAGGCTTCTGTCTTAGAAGAAATGTGATGCTCAATCAAGTGGAGCTAATTGCTACTTTACAGTATGTTAATATGAACATGCAGGCTTGTAATTAGAAACATGATTACAATGATTATAAAGGCAGCTGTTGCCTGACTTTGGCCAATTGTTGGAGCTGATATTGACGAACTGTTGAGTCACTGATCATGGCCAATGCATGGATGTGAAACCTGAATATAGACAAAGTTATACGAGATAGTCAACACAATGAACCTTTCATCTGAATGATCACACAAATGATCCACAAGACAGACATTGCTTCTATATGCTGTATCTGGATCTATTTTACATTCACAGCAATGGACCCTCACCTATGGTCATGAACTTTGGGTCATGACCGAAAGGGCAAGATCCCGGATACAGGCGGCCGAAATGAGCTTTCTCCGCAGGGGGGCCGGGCGCACCCTTAGAGATGGGGTGAGGAGCTCGGTCCCCCGGGAGGAGCTCAGAGTAGAACCGCTGCTCCTCCACATCGAGAGGAGCCAGCTGAGGTGGCTCGGGCATCTGTTTC